ATTATAATCGGATTGGTATTTGTTTTGGTCGTTCACTCGTTCTGAACTGACTGTATGTGGCTTTAAATTGAACCAAATGGCGAAACCAGATTCATATAGCCAAGCCCATATGGTTGGGAATTTGGACAAGGCTGGGATGATGATATATTTGTTAGACAGATATGCCCTTAGCTCCAATCAGATTGATGTATGTTTTGACATTTATTGTAAATGAATAAAGTATATAATTGATTCATGTCATTGTGGTGTGTTTCTATGTAATACCCTTAAACTAGATACTTATGAGACTTGTGTTAGTTTAGAATGTTCACAGCCGTTGGATAGATCTGGGGAGATTTATCCTAGTAAGGTTGACACTGATGTGCCGCCAAGTTGGTTGGGGTGGTTTGTCATAGCTACCAGGGTGAGATCTGAGGTACATGCAGTGTGGGTTTTCTTGAAACCCTAAACCGGACCAAATTCCAGTATTGCCCTGGACCTTGGAGACAGATGGGCAAAACTGGAATGTTACACCTGACCCCTAGACTCAATTATGATATTGCACTACGTGTCGGATTGGGCTGTCTTTGATATGCCAATCAGTGAGATCCTTAGAGGGGGTCAAAACCTGGGTATGTTGGGACAGTCCAAGAATTCATCTGAGTGGGTGATTATAGTGACAGGATCAGTCCCTTTGTCGGATAAAGTGAATGATCGGGGATGCACTCTCTCTGATGGAAACTTAAACTGCCGGCAGTTAATTTTAAACGTTGAGATTTGTTTTCACAAAATATATTATATAGACATATACATATATATATTATGGTTTCAAAATGTTTGCAAAAGGTTTTAATTCCTGGGATCCATGTGAGTAGAGATTGCAGCACTGTTCCTTGCAATCGAGGGAGAGGTCCTCTCTTGTCGGGCAGTGTTTGATCATTATGGGCTGAGAGGTTAAGTGTAAGACCATTGAGGGTAATACCTAATGGGCTAATCTTGCATCTGCCCATAGTCCTTGGGTTTTCATAAGGTAGCTGGACCCAATGATCATTTAGTGTAAATGTTGGGCCCATTAAGAGCCCATGGTGATGGACTCAGGGGTTCACTGCCTCTTATAGGGAATTCGGCCAGGCCCTGTAACAAAGGCTGGGCTGAACCCATGTGGTTGATGTGTAGATCAATGTTTGGGTCCCACGCCTTACAAAGAGAGCCAACTGAGTAGCAAATTAAGGGGTAAGTGAGCACATAAGCTTAATGGGCCTAAAGTCCAATTTGAACTAGGCTTAAACTAGTTAATTAAAATGAGGCAAGATAGGATTTATAATCTGATTAGGATTACCTGAAGGATAAGATAAGTCTTATCCATTCAAGAATCCAGATCCAAATATCATATTTGGATTAAGGAACTCTCTCCTAATTAGATTAGGAGGCTGATCTTGAGAAGGCTATAAATAAGGGGGCGAGTTCCTCAGTTACATAACACAACAACCTGTAGAATTCTCTCTTATTCTTGTCATCCATACCCAGTTCGATCTCCTCTTGAGGAATTGATCAAGAAAGGTTCTTGATATTGTTTCTTGGCTGAAGAAACAATCCGAAGTCGTGCTCACCAGCCCCTGTTCGATTCTTGCTGAAGGATCCTGGTTCTTGGTGAAGAGTCATCCTGCTTCATCACACACTGTGTCATCTTCAGTGGAAGCAAATTTTGGTATTCTCCTTGGGCGTGAACACTTTTATTAGGAATTACTTCTACTTCGTATCAGGTATATCCCTCTCCTCCCTTTTGGTTTCAGATCTGGTCCGGTTTTGGATTCAAGAACGATCATTGAAAATGCAGTTTTCTAAAATAGGGAATGTGATTCCCAGATGGGAGAGAGAAATTTTTGAAATTTCACCCAACCTTCCTACAGGGTTTGGCCATCCATATGATGGATCTCTCATCCCTTCAATATTAGCATATTACAAAACAACTCCCAGTCTGAAACCTGTGTTTCTCATGGAATACTTGTAATGTTATCATGCCAATGTGTTAGTTTAACAATTTTGCAGGTTTATGGAAGATCTGGTTAGGAAATGCTGCACATTTAAGGCTATGTTTGGCATGTTTTCAAAGAATTAATTCTAGAGTTCAACTAAGGTGCCTTCACTAATACTGGCTTACACATTAAATCCAAACTCAACCAAGAACGTCAAAGTCTGCTTACATCTTATTGCTTCATGTTCCACAAAGTTAAAATATACTTACCATTACATTCAACTAATCATGTCTTTTGCTGCACTGTGCAGCAGATGTAGCATAGATTTTCCATCATTTTAAATTTGATTTTATAAAAATTGTTCGAACTAATTCTTTTATATGTTTATTTTAAGCCCAAGTTAGTTCTTTTTCAGGGGATGAGAATTAGATCAGTGAGCCCCAGCCTCTTGACCTTTATTGGTCTTCTTGGGTTGTCAGCCTCATTATCCATCATTGACTTGAGCAAACAAATCCATGGTCTCATAGTAAAAGTTGGAGTTACCTTGGACCTTTATGATGTTAGTGCTCTTGTGGATGTTTATTCAAAGTGCCTGTGTATTAAGGATGCAAGACTTGTGTTTGAGGAGATGAATGAAAGAGATACTGTAGTATGGAATGCCATGGTTTTTGGGTATACTCAGAATGGGCAAGGAGAGGAAGCCCTCAAACTTTTCTTAGAAATGCAGTTTTCAAGAATAAAACCTGATGAATGTACCTTTGTTGGCCTTGTTACAGCTGCTAGTGACTTGGAAAGTTTAATACATGGCCAATAGTTCCATAACCACCTTATAAAGACTGGTCTAGACATGGATCAATATGTCTGCAATGCCCTTGTTGGTATGTATGCAAAGTGTGGAAGCATTGAAGAGGCTCGTAAAACATTTGATGGTTCATATCAAAAAGATGTTGCATGTTGGAATTCTATAATCTCAAGATATGTAGAGCATGGGCATGCTGAAGAATCTCTTCAGATGTTTGAGCATATGGAAGATGAAGGAATAGAACCCAACTATGTCACGTTTGTTGTTGTGTTCTCAACCTGTAGTCATATAAGGCTTCTTGAAACAAGGCTCCTTCACTTTGACTCGATGACATCAAAGTCCAGAATAAAACTGTTATGGGCCCGGGCGTAGGATCTTGTCACGGGTCGGTCCACGGAGAGAACCTCTAGTTTCCCCTTGCCCCTCCCTTTGCGTGCAGACCCTATCATGGCGACCTAAGGGGTGATTTGTCCAAGAGATCACCTTAAGGCTATGTTTGGTTTGAAGGAAAAAGTAGAGAAATGAAGGAAAAGGCAAGGAAACCTATATAAAATTTGTAAAGATTTCCTATACATTTTCCTTCATTTCCCTATCTTTTCCTTCAAATCAAACATAACCTAATTCTCCTTTACTCTTCTCTTTGACTGAAATTTTTGGATGCCTTTATTCAATAATAGTGGCTCCTTAAATAGGAGATTACAAGAGTCCTGCTCTTAGGGAGACTCCTTGCTGAATAGGGAGACCTTCAACTCTATCTTGATAAGATAAGACTGATAAGATAAGATAAGTCTCTCTTAATCTTAATCTAATAAGATAAGATAAGATAATCTACTAACTTAATAAGATAAGAATAACAAGATAGTCTAATCTAATCTTCTGAATGGATGCCGAATTGGATAGGATGAGAACACCGGATCATTGCTGCTGCCGCTCCCAATACGCGTCCACATCAAAAACCTGGGATAGAGCACTATGTATGTGTGGTTTCTTTCTTGGGCAAAGCAGGAAAAATGTTTGAGGCCAAGGGGTTCATTGATCAGATGCCAATTAAACCAGTAGAAAATAACTTGCAATGTTGAAATGGCGAAATATGCTGCAGAAATAGCAATCTCAAGTGATCCAAATGAAAGCGGATTTTATGTTCTACTTTTAAATATTTTTGCATCTATAGGAATATGGGATGATGTGAAGGAAGAGGATGGACTGCAAAGGGTTGGTGAAGGAACCAGCCCATAATTGGATCGAAATACATAGTAAGGTTCATGTGTTCATTGCAAGAGATAAAGCTCATAGCCAAGCTGGTTTGATTTATTCAATACTGGACAGGTTGACCAAACAGATCAAAGGGGTTGGCTATATTCCTGATACCTCTACAATTTTGATGGATGATTAAGGAAAGTGATTTCCATGGTCCAACAAAAAATCTGAAAATTTTGATTTGATTGTTATTCAAGACAAATACAAGAATATCAAGTTGGTTGGATTGACTTTGCTGCACGGCCTCTCCAAAAGAAACCTCAACTGATTTTGATTGGTAATTAAGATGAAACCATCTCAGTTGATTCAAGTGAACATTTGTGGGATTTATGTCCTGACAGCCTAACCAGGTGCAATTGTGACAGTCTTATGACTCTTATCTGAATGAAGACAAGGGTACAGCTTAATTCTTGCCTGTGGTGGTTGATGTACAAGAGCCTTGGGATTGAACAGTCTCTCATAAATAATGCAAAATATAGAAAATTTATGGTCATCCATATCTGCAACAACTAGAAAACAATTGCCAGTCACAGAACAAAGTAAAAACATCACCGAATATTTCCCTTCGAAGAGTTGGTCTGCCATTGGAGGAGAGGAAGAAGAGATCATAAAATATTTTATATTTACTTATCATCATCATCTAAACCTTGTCCCAACCATATGGGGTTGGTTACATGTATGATGTATCTTGTTCTGCCATTCCATTCTGTTCAATGGCATATCCATTGTTAAATTATGGGGACCCTTAAATCATTTCTCATTATTTAACCTAGTCCTTTCACTTCTTAGTTCTGCAAACTACTTTATAATCTCTCTCTCTCTCTCTCTCTCTCCCCCCCCCTCTCTCTATCAATATTCTTTCTTCATGAACATGTGATAGGCGATTTTCTTGCTAATCATATTCTTCAATTGTCCAAGTGGAAAGATGAAATGCACATGGTACAAATCTAGCCTGGTCTACTGTCAAAAAAGTAAGGAGAATCAAATAAGATGAAGTAGATATTTTTGGATTTCGAGACTTTCATTATGATCATATTGGCCATAGAAGCATTTGAGAAAAGCTTTACCACTCTCTCAGCATACATGCTTGTTGAACCTACTTCCTTGGAGGTTCTTATTACCAATCTCCAAAGAAAACTTGGAGAGAAATCATGCTCTTGCTTCTTGCTTCTTTTCCAAAGGGATCAAATTTAAATTTTGATATTCAAAGAATGTTTCAAGCTCCCTACTTGAAGGACATGTGAACCCAGGGCCACTTTTCGGCTCCCAAGCTCATCTACAACACTCAAATCCTTGCAAACATCCACGTTGAACTTGACCAATTCTTCACTCTGAGCTGTCAGGAAAACCTTCTTAAATCCGAGCAAATGCTTTTTAGGGGCATTGTGTACTGATGGAGGAGTGTTGAACAGGAGAACTGTATGGCTTCCACTCCTCCTTCCCATGTTCCTAACTCTTAAATGAATCTTAAAAGCTAGGTTTTGACAACTCCCTTCAAAGAGATCAATAGATTTGCATCTCTGGGAGTGACAAATGTGACCTTCCTCCAAGGGAACTGATACCAGTTTAGGTGCCCGGACAATGTGATGGTTGAATTGAGAGTAGCTCAGGCCATCACCAAATGAGTATATAGTTTCACCTGTGTAAAACCGATAGGTTCTGCCAGGGTACCCAGTGGCCAGATCTGATCTCATGTTCATGTTTGTCATGGGGACCTTGTCTGCAAACTCTTGTGGGTACCATGTCATGGGTAATCTTCCACCTGATGAACAAGAAAAAAAGGCAAATTAGTTCTGAAATTACACAATTCTGATAAACAGAGTTGTAATGGATTCTGGAATAGAATTCTGGTCTGGGTCTTGTCTAGCAAACTAGTAATCAATACCAAAGTCGACAAATCAGAGCTCGCTTACTAGGATTATAATATCCAAAGATCACATCTGATAATGCGGCTCCTCCAGCTTCACCGGGGTAACCAACCCAAAGAATGCTCGTGATTTTGTCATTGCCTTTGGCAAATGAGATATCCATGCCTCCCCCAGACATGATAACAAGAATTACGGGTCCCTTGGATACATTTGCAACTTCTGTTACCAGAAGTGCCTGCTGGCCAGGGAGATGAAGGTCGACTCTGTCACGACTCTCTGCCTCGATGGATTGATCAGCGCCCATTACTAAAACTGTGGCATCTGCTTGGGCGGCTATTTTCTTGGCATCATCTAGTTGTACACTGCCGCATGCCACATTGGGACAGCCCAGCTGATAGAGAGTCGGAACTGAGGCTGTGAGGCCTTGCAGAGGAGTAGTATATTTGCATGGAGTGCCTGGCAAAACAAACTATAGCGTCAATGGATGCTTTAGAAGGTCTAGCGCTTAAGAATTATATAACATAATTCAGTTACCTTCATAGTTCCCGATCATGGTTTTTGTCACATTGGCATTGGGTCCGATCACTGCCAAGGATTTGATGGCTGTGGGTGACAATGGCAATGAACCCGCACTGTTCTTGAGCAAGACAATCCCTTGCCTCGCAGCTTCACGGGCCAGCTCCTGGTTCTTTGGGGTGCAGACATCCTTGGGGCCGAGTTTCCCATAGAGTTGCTTACTTGGGTCACCATCAAAGAAGCCCAGTCGCAAGAGAGTGCCAAAGTTGTTGCTGATTGCCTTGTTGACGGCAGACTCATCAAGCAGCCCAGCTTTCACTGCAGCCTCGGTATGTTGCCCCAGGAAAGATCCACAGTTGAGATCCAACCCTGTTGAGACCAGCAAATTAATGCACACTTTTGAGTCATGAACAGAAACAATAGCTCAGAAGAAGTCCCTGTATGAAGAATGAAAAGGTGGATGGTGTGGCTTCACCTATCTCTTAACAACTGGGCACGACGACCATTAATTAGATTGATCTGATCTTGGTTGGGCCCCTCTTAGAGATCAAACTGATCAGATGATCCGACATGATTGATCATCGTCGACCATTATTAGTCTAAGAAGGGAAATGCAATTACCTGCCAATATAGTCTTAGCAGCGGCTTCCTCTGGGGTCTTGGTGTAGTGCTGATTGTTGTAAAGTACGTCCACTGAATCACAATCTGAAACGATGTATCTGCAGCAGCAGGAGAGGCAGAACAGAAGCAGCCCAACAAAATCACAATGTCAGGAAAGCAATAGCAAGGGAGTATTAAAACATCTTTTTTTTTTTTTTTTTTTTTTTTACTTTTCAAATTTGAAACTACAGATGGTGATGCATGTGAAGCTGCAGTTTATTCTTAAACCGGGTTCCTCAGTAAAAATCACATTGTATGATCATTGATGATTAATCAAATAATCCTTTCGAGCAGCAAGATTAATTGTTCTGGGCTACTTAATATGAGCAACAATGTAGCACTTTAGACATTGATCCAATGGAGGCCCAGTAGACATTTTTGTTACATGGGTGAGTGATGACCAGTACAGTAGAGCATGTGGTCATGTATTTGTTTTGTTCCCTAACAGTTGAAGACCCACATGGGCAAGAAGACCCACTGCTTTCCTATATCATATATAGAATTATGGATCTAAATCATCTTGCCAAGGTACAGGATTCTAAACAATGGGATTAAGAATTTAAGATAGCCAAAATGCTAAACACATTCAGGAGGATCAAGGAAAAGAGAAGAGACCCATTTAATTTCCATTCTCCTCTAACGACACCGGCGAGAAGATCCGGGTCTGCGCAGGTCGGTATCCCATTTACTTGGTTATAAGAGCACATGACACTAGCAACATTCCCATCAATGACACAGCTCTTGAAGGGGGGTTGAAATGTATCATCCAGGTCTTGTTTAGTAACCTACAAGCAAATTCATAGACAAAAAGAGTGAACTGTTTACTATCTATCTCTTTCTTTGTATAGCAATGAAATGAAGACAACCAAAAGAAAACTAGTACGACTAAAACCACAGTTTGATTACTACCTGAGCATTGAAGTGATAGCGATCGACACCCTTCCATGCATCCACATCATATGCTGTGTAATGCTTGCAGCAAGCAGCAACTTTAAGCCGACTGGGGTCTCCATCATCGGTTTGCTGCAAACCTTGAACATAACCTGCTGCATATTTGCTGGAGAGCAGAGGATCTTCACCTGGAGTCTCTTGGCCTCTTCCCCATCTGGGGTCTCGGAATATGTTGACGTTTGGGCTCCAGTAAGTTAGCCCAGCTAGGCCCACATTGTACATGGCTCTAGCTTCCGTAGACACCACCTGCAGATGTATGTCTCAAAGTTGATTTGGCTTGAAAACTACTTTGACATAGAATGATATAAATCAGCCAACTACAGAGAATCCATGCATGAAGAGAAAGAAAGGTTCAAATAAATTGGGTCTTTTTGTTGGGTGGACAACAAGATCTACCAAAAGGAATAGCTCAATATTTGCTTTTGAAGCTTACCCCTACCCATAGGGCTGTAGCCTGTAGTAGGGATCTCGGGTTGGATTTGAATTTAATCCAAGCCCACTTGATTGTCTTTAGTTTAAAATAAAGAAAAACTAAAGAAGTTGAAAATGTTAATTACTAAATCTATATAAATATTTTAGTTGGACCGGATGTTGGATCGGGTTTTCCCAGACCCGGTGCCCTTAAACTGCTCCCACCTACCATTCAGATACTCATCAAATGCTTGAGGGGCCTAGGGTACTGCAAAAGACTCACACACACACAATCAAGAGATGCATGGACAAGAGAAATTAATAGATTTGTATCCTACTTAACAAACATTATACATGAGAACATTAATTTCTTATCAATTCTGTATTTATGCCATCTATTTTCAAAATTTGAGATTGGATGTTAGGTATGCAATTAATACTTTGATTTTCACCTTCTAGTTGATTGGGATGCTCTGTAGACTACAGAAGTAATAAATGATATCAGTGACTAGAGAAAGAACTAATTCCAAAGATTAATCAAAAGTGACTAATTAGACACGGTACATTTTAGCATTTACAATTGTTAATGGGTCGGATCTATTGATAGAATCAAACCGACTGAACCAATTATATAAGTTCGGGTGTTGTGTATGTGCCCCGATTAACAATTGGGTCGGAACCAGTTTTTGCTGTTCCGAACCAATTATATAGTTTATAATGTATTGGTTTCTTGTTTTTTTTTTATAATCTTTGTTATATTTTGTTTAAAAGGATACATTTCATAGAGAGCATATAATATAACTTTTGTTAAAACACTTGTTTATCATTACATACACAATTTATTATTTTACTGTCATTTTTATTAAAATTATAGTAGAAAAAATGAATTTCTAAGTTGTTATTAATAGGGCTGGCGACAGGTCAGTTTTGTGATGCTCAATTAATAATTGGGTGGATTCTGGTTCTTTCTTTTTCCAAACGGATTCAAACCTGAACTGGTTATTTTGTAAATATAATATAATTCTAATTCTTTTGTAATTTTTATTATATTTTATGTATAAACGTGTAAATTTGATAGATAATATATAAGCTAATTTTGATTAAAAATACTTGATTTATTAATATATAAATAATTTATTATTTTACTGACATTTTTATTAAGATTATATTATAAAAAAACTAAGTTGTAATTTTTTAAATAATTATATTTGTCAATATAATTGGGTCTAACCTGATTATCCCAACCAATCAAGAGGTGGCTCGTTCATGTATTAATTGGTTTGTTCCAGCACTGACGCAGAATCAAATCCTACAACCACCACTGTGGGAAGAAAAGGGGTCAAGGGGAGGTTTAGTGGTGCATAACACGCACCGAATCCCAAAAAAAACTAATTATCCCAATTATTAATTAGTATGATTCTGGGTCCAAGGTTTTTTCGTGATTGAACTGTAAATTTAGCCTCGGATCAATCTACACCACTTGTGAAGAAGTTGAGATCTTTCTAACCTAGCTTTTATAATCTCACCTACTTATATTATAAATGATTTGTCCGAATCCATTGTCTCTTGCCAGAGTTCTCATTGGGTAAGGAAAAGAGAAGAAAACAATAGAAACAACCTACTTTCTTTTTCTTCCCAGACTTGAGTTGGTTAATACTTATGTTTTTGTAATTATAGGGTTGAGAGTTTGTTTCGAGAGATTGATGTACTCGGATTAGGTGGGTTATGTCGTCCCCTGTATTATTTCATTTATATTGATATTATTAATAAAATTTTAAGGTGGCCATCCCTCTGCCTCGAGTAAAATTTGGGGATTTAAAAAAAAAAAGAAAAAGAAAAATCACTCCACAAAATTTGACCTGCAAATCATGCTCATATTTTCCTTTTTTCATTCCATCATTTATGTTGTTGGGTTTGAGGATCTGATTGGTGACCGGTCACTTGGCCTCCTTCATTATTAGGTTATGTTTGGTTTGAAAGAAAATGTAGGAAAGGGAAGAGAAAAGTAGGAAAACTTATACAAGTTCTATAAAGGTTTCTTTACCTTTTTCCGTACTTTTTTCTTCAAACCAAACACAGCCTAAATTCACAATTACAACAAAATTAAGCTAAATATATGAAGTGTGCAATGCAATTAGAAGATTAGGCTGAACAGCTAGGCCCTGTTGATATATATATAACATCCCCTCTTTTTTCTGTCCACCCTGTATATGAACAGTTGTAACACATCCTTTTCACCTGCCTTATAAAAAAGCAGTAAAAAGCAACTAGTTGCTTCCTGATTTCTCAAGGGTATTTTTTTCCATCAACTTGGTAGTGGAATTATTTTATTCTCCTCGGTAATTTTTCCCCCTTTTAGGAAAACAGTACATTAACTACCACCTTTATTAGTTTAGTAAATAGTAATTGGCTGAGATTCTTCTCATAAATTTAGTTTAGGAAAAAAATATATAAACTTTTGAAGATATAAATTCAAGACTATGTGGCCCTCCACATGCAAACTAGTAATAATCAGATCAAGTTCAGTTGGAAAAACAGAACACGGTTCAGACTAACAAATGAAGATCATGACAATGAATGAAAGATTCAGTATCAACTCCACTCAAATACTGATTCTGGGATTTACCAGTTATAGTGTAAATCCAATCCCATGTTTGAATTCAAATCTAAAACATATTCCCTTGAAGTACTACTTCAGAAGCAAGTACATTCTTCTCAACATTGCAGAAATTTTAAACTAAAGTCTGAATTAGCTTAGTTACTTATAAACCCATGTCTGGCATTCAAAATTCTGAGAACAGAAGGGAAAACATTTTGAAAAGAAAAATGAAAAGAGCAAAAACTAAAATAGGAGCCTATCTTCTCCATACCAAACAGAATTACTCGGTAAACTAATAGAAAAAAACATCTCCAACCCACATTTGAATCAAACCCAGGGTCCATTTTCACCCAAACGATCAAGAATCAAGATCAGAAATGAAGAGTAGGATGAGACTTACCTTTCCAATGTCCTCAAACAGAGACGTGTTAAACGAAGCTGCAGTTAGAATGACCTGAGGAAAGCTTGTAGCACCAGGGACTGCACTTGAGAAATGGGTGCCGGGACCCACGTAAGATACTCCATGTAAAGCTTCAGACCACCACTCATAGCTCGGAATTCCCAGCCTATTCACTGCCCCTGCTTTACTCACCAAGAAAGTAATCTTTTCCTGCAATGTAAGCCTCTCCACTAGATCATTTACCCTTGCAGCAATGTCCAATGAAGTATTACAGAACCCAAAGGCAGCCAAGCCGGGATTCTTGCCAACATCACAGGCGAAAACTGGAGATTGGCCTGAGGCCCCTTTGGAGCCCAGGAGAAAAAGAAGCTGAAGAAGGAACACTAAGAAAGCAGAAGTTTTAGCTCTGTTTCCTCCAGAAGCCATGGCTCTTTTGTGTTGCAAGGCTCCAATGGAGGAGGAGGAGGAGGAGATTATATGGGTATGGTTTCGTTTTCAATATATAGAGCAAATATATTTATATCAATGTAAGGCAAATTGTTTGTTTTCAGCCCGTGAGCAAAGAGGTGAAGCTGACTCTGAAACTCCATTTAATGGTTATTACAGAAAAGAGTAAGGAAAAAGACAGATAGGGCGAGAAAATCTAGCTTTCAGAAATTCATTGGCTTTTGAGTCCGTAGAGAACTGAAGATATATTTTTGTTTCTTTGTTCTTTCTATTTCCTTCATTACGAGTATTTGGAGAGACTCTACTCAGAGAGAGAGGAGGTCGGTTTTCTCGGGACTGGAGATATTGGATTTATTCGTGCTTTCTACTGTTTTTCACTTTCACATGAAAGATGGAATGGTTGATTCCATCATGCACAAGTTCCCTTTTTAAATCTTATCATTTCCAACAAAATTATGGAGTCCACCTAATAACAGGCAGATATGCCCATTAACACTAATGGATCTGCATTATGGGTATCAGTGATTTGATATGATAACTAGAGGGAGATCAATTACTTGTTGACGCTTATCTGATGTTGATGTGGTGGTGGGTCCTATATCCATTGATCAAATCTGTTCTCTGGTTCATAAGCTGTAGGTGCTAATTTTTTATAGGTGCATTAGTTTACAGGTTTATTACCACTAAAATTTACAAGCAATCCAAGGGAGGAGTGGAACTAGCTAGCAAATAGCCATTTTTTATTCTTTTTGTTTTTTAGTTAAGATAGCGCCCTGCTAAGATGTCCATGTACACTTTGTCCAAATGGGTTCTTTATTTTTTTGGATAAAAGTACAAAATGGATTCATGTGAGCAAATTTAAACTTAATCTAGGATAGGTAAAACCGTAAAATAGCGACTATAATAGTTGATTCTATTCAAGACTATACATACTATAGAACAAGTGAAACCAATGAATGAATCAATGCAGAAATTTGTCTTAGTTAACTAGTTATTTAGTGCCGATTCTTTATTATAATGTGCTTCTTTTTCTTTTGGAACATGTGTTAGGTTGGAGGGAATTGGGTCTGGTTGGGGTAGGCTCAAGCTCAACCCTAAATTGCCCAACTTCATTTCTTCATTCTAAACTTTTTTTTGGGAGATTCTGGTTCCAACATATTTGTTTATTTGAGGGTGGATGCTGCTCACTAGTCACCACAAATTGGCAAATTGAACTCATCTCAATTATTAATTAATGGATTCAAGAATGCCAACCTAGAAGAGAAAACTAATAGAGTGGAGGGGTTCAGTAGTTCTGGTTGCTATATAAGAAAAAGACCTCCTGCGTAACAGGATGGACTAAGTGACAAAGTATGCATCAAATTGCTTCAGACTAGCTGTCTAGATAAAAATTCAAAACTTTGTATCTGGAAAGTGATTCATTTTATCATAATTGTTGGAAGTGGGCTGTGCAAATGCAATTCTTTAGAACATATCCATCATCTTTTGAACTACTTCAGTATTTCTCTTGTTCCATATGTAACTAAATAGGAGGTGTAATTAAGAGGGTAGTTTTACAAGGGAGATGTTAGAAACTTAGAATAGAAGGCTCATGTTGTATTATTGGAAGCTTTTCTGCTCTTTAGCTGAAGAGAGTTGCTTTCAAAATTAGTTATCATGTCTCCATCTGTTAGTTACTTGTTTTGTTGAACAAAGCAGAAGCATTGGAAGGGACGTCAGACGGCTCAGTAACCCCACTAGGCTTTCATATAGTGACTGATTGTTGGGACTAGAGAGCTGGGACCAGTTTTTGGGTTGAGTTAAGATAGGCCAGCCGAATCATCAATGTCCCCTTGCTTGAAAATGGAAGTAAAGCAGATCTAGCTGGAGTTGAATAGACCTCATTCTATCAATCAACGCCATCTATTGATCATATACATTAGGCTGTGTTTGGTTGCAATGCAAATAAATTTGCACTGATGCAAAACCATGGCAGTGCAAATGATTTGAGTGTAAATTCTGACCTATTTTTGTTTCAAATTTTAGCTTATTTTGTTTGATTGCAATATAAATGGAGTAAATTAAGACATGAAGCAGAATAAAGTAAAATCCAAAACAAAATTAAACAAGAATTCGCACTTTTTACATTTGCACTCCCATGCATTTGTATTAGTGCAAATAAGTTTGCACTACAACCAAACACAACCTTAGTTACATTCCAAACTGATGTATCCAAAACTTATCACTAAGTAGAAAGTCATGGTTGTTTGAACCACTGGATTGGAATTTATAAATATTAACAAGATATTTAGACTGACATAAAAAGAGTTTCAAATCTAGTGGCTTAGCTTATTTATTGAAATAAAAGACTCAAAACTTAATTGAAAAAATTAACCCATTAATAGGCATTAAGTGCTGAGGTGACTTTGGCAGCCACCCTGCATGATCTTTGCTGGGGCATGACTTCTGTTGTCTATCAAATAATTTGCAGTAATTGAATGGTTACTTGACGCCCTAAGGAAAATATCCATTCACCAACAAAGATTACATCTCATCAACTAATCTCATTATCGGTTTGTCAAATCCATATATATAACTCCATATTGGCAGAATTGTGAATGAGATGTATGAATGAAAGGAGAAAAAATTAAGTTTAATTGAATTAATTGGGCTTCTTCTCTAAATAACCACATCTTATGACATGTTCAGGGATAATATGGATAAGTTTTTTTTCCAAACAATATGGTCCATGCATCCAAGGATTAACTTACTGTTCATTTTATTTCTATTTAATAAAAAAAAAGAGAGAGAGAGAATTATGTGGCAATAACGACTAACAACAATCAATATTTTCTTGATATATGGCAATAAATTGTTTTTTTTTTTAATTGGAAGGTTCATCCTAGTTGATTGAATTATGTATTATTTCCAATTCATTTTGGCTTTCCAGTTTTGCCTCACCCCAATTCCCCATTTACCCAATGAGGAACCAATAAGAGAGAGAGAGATGTGGGGCGGTACTCTACTTGTGTATGACGCGACCTTGTCTCCTTTGCTAGTATTTGTGCCTTTTGTGCAATATCCACCATTGCAGCAACTTCATGGAAGCATCATTATTTTATATTTTGCATGCTCTCCCCTGTTCCTATTATCTAGGATGTTCCACAATTTGCTAATATTTTCTTCACCCTTTTTCATTGCGTAAGTTTCATTTTCGATCCTTCAATTTATTTTGACCCAAATTGCAAGGAAGGAGAAGTTTTCATGGTAAAAATTAAGAGAGAGAGCAAAACTTTTCATGACCTAACTTCGATCCTTTAAGTAGGAGTTACAGGATCAAACCAGTAGAACTGCAGGCTCTCTGTGCTGTGGCCACTGTGCCTCATATGCACCCTGCTTTGCCTCACCCCCATGAGTCCATTCTTTTACATACATTTTTATTGTTTAATTTATAATATCACAAGTTGATCCATTTAATCCAGACATACATACGGTTGAATCGCTGACGACCCAGACCCACCACCCAAATGAAAAGTAATTCTATTTCCGGATCAGTTTTTAAAATACTGGTTAATTAAAAACAAACAGGACAGAGAATGAAAACATCTATTTAACCAGAAGCATTACTGCATATTAGGCATGATTCGTTTAATTGTTTGTTGTATTCTTCTCTCTTTTATGTGATGAGTCACATTAAACAAAGCTTATTTCCAAATGCCAATGCCTAGTTGGGGTCGGGGTGTCAGCTTCCCACATTAGAGGTCTCAACACTAGAATCTGGATTCCACGCTATCACATCTGGTGTAGTTGATCATATATTATTATAATTGTTACGAATTTCAGAAAGCATGAATGGAAATAGACATGAAGAAAGAGAAGATGAGTGATGAGTGTAGTAGACCTACTCCAGCCCGTGACCAAGTATGCTGACAGCTGAGTCAGCCACGAGCCCTTTGTCTAGTAAAATATTAGGAAATTAATATGCTTGATTGCCTGGGACCAGACCAAGGTTGGCTTGGATTAAGCTAAGTCTGGTGGTCGGTCAGTCTGTTCTCTCACTGCATATAATATGCCTTTATGTCATTCCACTCCAGCCCTCGACCTGTAGCACTAAGATAGCTAGATCCACATTTGTAAGCAAAGCCATGTTAGAAAGAAGAGCCGAGCCGAGTGCCGCAGTGGGATCAAACTGGAGCTGGGCACTAATTAATTAGAACGGTGAAAGTGGAAAACAGCACTGAGAAAGCGATCGAAGAGTTGGGCACGTACGTAGTGTTTGGCGCCTGAGGCTTGGTCGCTTGGACCGCGGTGGATGTGTGCGGTTAATTGCGGTTCATGCATGATTGGTTGCCTAAAACTAGAACGAATTGAAGAACCATTGATCTGGTCTGAAATTGAGAGTTTGATGAGACTTCGATCTTCAAGTGTACTCTCTCCAAATCCAGGACCATGCAGTAGGCAGTAGCAGTGATGGATGGGTCAGGCACTTAGGCTAGGCCCCAATCCCCCCCTCAATTTCCACACTCTCATTGGTCTATTCCGGCCTACTGCCGCAACTGCAAGTATAAAAGCCATCACTTCTCCCACTACTACGTACCTACCTTCTGGCTGGGCCCAGCTGCACCTGCAAATTAAGCTAAAGCTCTCTTATTCTGTTTGGATAAGTCTTTATGTGCATGGGTCCATTCATTCATATCTCTTTGCAAAATATGATCCTGATCCTCCTCTCTGTCTTAGGCTTAGCCATGTGGAGAGAGAATGAGTAGAGATGATCCATGTAGCCAATTCTAAACTGTATGTCAAAGCGACAGCTTCGTCTGAATTGGCCATGGCCCATGGGCATGCACGTACCATGAATTAATGCTGGACCATGTTTTGGAGAAAGAGGGATTCTCTCTTTTGTCTACAGAGGATGATTTTTTCCCTAGCTAGTAGAGAAATGAGCTAGGGGAGAAATATTGTTATTGAGCATAGAATTCAAAATTATAATAAAGTGATGTAACAAACACGCTTCCGAACTATTTTCTTTGCTAGACTACTAATTGTCTAACAAATTCTCCCTTTACCCATAACGATATATAGATCATAGAATAATTACAATTGACAGAATATTAGAGACAAATGGTCGTGAATGATAGTAGCTAGAAAGCAAAACGTTTGAATGATGATAGAAAATTCATCTTGTGCGGATTTATTTAAGATCACGAGAGCATCGCTAAATTGCCTCCGGTTTTGGCGGAATTCGACTAGAGGACAAACCGAACAAGCGTGATTCTTTATTTCGCCAAGG